GCCTGGGCACTGCAACCTCTTTCCCCGCTCTGTGGTCCCTGAAGGAGCCCCACATGCCTGCTCTAGACATGTCCATGCACACTAGTCCTCACACACAGACACACACGCACGGAGGCAATAAATATGTTCCGTACCAAAATGCCCCCAGCCTGACACTTCAGGTGGGGCCCCTCCGAAAGGGAGGTCTTATAAGTGCTCAGTTTGTTCAGGAATGGGGAGGAAGAATTGGGGAGGGGAAGGGCCATACTCTGCTATCTACTTTTGCTGGTTTGAGGCAATCATGGGGTTTTCCTTGGAAAAGAGGGTGGGGAAACCAGCTGTTTTCCTATAAGCCTCAGGCTGCCCCTATCCAGCCTGAGCGCAGGATAGGGGCTTTCCCCCACCCTGCCTCAAACAGTATCTCATGATAGTCCTTGGGCCCGCCGAGGGAGAAGCAGAGTGCAGTGCTCAAAGCTAATACTGATTTGGTTGGCAGCAGCAAGAGGACTGACTGGGGGGGTGTCTCACCATCCCAGGGTGATGCTCACAGTAACTGGCGTTTCCCTGGCTGAGGGGAAGCAAGAGAGGCCAGCCAGCCCTGCAAGCAGAACTGCCTTTTGGCAGCCGGGAAGAAGCCCTTGGTACTCAGAAAAGATGGCCACAATAGCTGGTCCCGAAAATTCCCAATCCCCGGCCTTCGCAACCAGTGCCCAAATGTTGAGCACTGGAAACGAGGAATGATTCTCAGCAATGGGTTGGCTGGTCACTAGGCAACTCCCCAGGAACCAGGAGCTAGGCCTGAGCTACAGGTCTGGTCCCCCTAGGTCGTTAGGGCACCGCCTTAGCAACCAGGAGCCCGGCCTTAGTAATCGGGGTCCGGCCCCGCCCGGCTCACAGACACACGTTGATCTGCTTGGAGAGCTCTCTCTCCAGGTCCATGATGAGGGCATCAAAATCTTTGAGGTTCAGGTGCGGGTTGAAGGGAGCCTCGAAGTCGTCTTCGAAGTCGGTGGCGACCGTCGGCTCGCCAGCCTCTTCGTCCTCGTCTTCGCTGTCGCTGCCCGTCACGTTGTCGTAGTCCGGCCCGGAAAGGAAGTCCCGCCCACAAGGCAGGAAGTCCCGCCCGCAAACGCTCCAGTCACCGGCGTAGCGGTTGCTCGGGGGGCTCTCGGGGCCGCCCCGGCCGCGGGGCCGAGTCACCACTTCGGGGGTCGCTAGCGGCAAGTGCAGCGGCGGCTGTCGTTTGGGCCGCAGGTACGGGACAAGCTCCGGAGCCTCTGGGGGCCTGCGCGGATCTGCGGAGGGAGAGGGAGGGCTTGGATGATGTCACGCCCAGCGGTGGCGACTAGACCTCTGATTGGCTGCTTAGGTAGCCAGGCCCCTGATTGGCCGGTCGAAAGGCAAGGCCTTCGACCGGATCAGGATTTCACTGGCTGAGCTAGAACTGGTTGCTGAGGCAACCAGGTACCAGCTTACTCGGACTAGGGGGCGTGGCTTGCCTGAAGCCCGAGACTCTAATTGGCCACTGGAGAAAGCATCGTAGCGGCAGCCTGGCTACGATCGGCGGCGCGGGGGCGGGGGCGAGGGCCAGCTCACCTGGCCAGGCTTGCAGCAGGTAGTGCAGCACCTCGATGTGGCGCTTGAAATCCACTGCATTCGAGAGGCCCGGGCCAGAGCTGCGGATGCGGGGCCTGGCGGGTGCCTGGCGCGCCGGCAGCAGCACAGGACCGAAGCAAACGGCCAGGTTCTGCGGAGTCATGCGGTTGTGGGCGTGGAAGGAGGAGACAAGGCGCAGGTGGTCCAGGAGAAGCGTCAGTGTAGCCTGAGAGGAGAGGGTTGGGAGAGCATGAGGTGGGCAAAGCCGGTCCCCTGTCGCACCTGAGGGAGACTAAGGCGGTTCAGAATGGGGAAACTGAGGTTCAAGGTCTCACAGCTGGGTGATGACCCAGCTAAGACTTAACCATTAGGTATTAGTATTATGATCCCATTTTGCTGGAGGGGAGACTGAAGCGAAAGGTAACTTAACTTTGAAATGGCAGAACTTGGGCTTGAGCCTACTCCTCTGTGTGTTAGGCAGGGCTGGTGTTAATCCCATTTTATAGATGAGGATATTGAGGCACAGAGAGGGTCGGGACTTGTCCAGGATACCACAGGCAGGAACTTCCCTTATGGTAGGTTGACACACCTGTGTTCAGAGTCTGTATTTTTGATACATCCTGCCTGTGAAACCTTAAATAACTCACTCAACTGCTCTGGGCTTTGGCTTCCATATCTATAAAGTGGGGATACTAATAGCACCTATTTTCTAGAATTGTAACAATGCCACACATTCATGGCCATCACAGGCCCAGGCATGGGTGACACATTCTGCTGATGTCAGCCCACTCCCTGTCTCGCCTGTTCCCACCAGGCCCAACTCACCCTCTCCACATCTGGCAGGCAGCTGAGGAGCCCACGGGTGCCCTCAGTGCTGGAAGGAGCCCTGCTTGGGGGCTCTCGGGCCATGGCCTCCAACACCACCTGATAGAGGGGCTGGGTGATGAGCGGGGTAGGCAGCTCCCGCAGATAATCCTTGAGGATGCCTGTGGATACAGGGCCCACTCTGGTCAGGGCACCCCTGGTTTCTGAGGCTGGAGATTCAGCTGGGGCTGGGAGCAGGGGAACAGGAGGAGGATAGGTGCAGGAAGGTGAAAACAAGGCCAACAGAAGGGGTGAGGTCCCAGAGGGACCACAGGGACTGCCTTGAGGTGAGGGTTGAATGGGGAGCAGGCAGGAGAGAGAAGGGGCATGCTGACCAGTGATGACATTGATATCGGGGTACAGGTCCTCGGAGAGGCAGACAGCTGCACTGTCCCGCTCAAAGGCATCTCGAAGCTCTTTCTTCACGGCTGCTGAGCCACACAGACGGTACAGCCCCACTACCTGGGGGTAGGAGCAGAGAGATGTCCTCTTGTCAGGGCCACAGACTGATCAGGGCCCTGTGGGTGAGGGCCAGAGGCCTAGATCACAGTGGCAATGGGCTGAGAGGTTGGGGGCTGGCTGTAGCTTCACTGGCTGCCTTCCTGCTCCTCTGACACCTGTCATTGGGGATCCCACCTGGCTGCCTGGACAGCCTGGCCCTGTAGACCCTCTGGATCACTTGTCCTGGCACCCACCTCCTTTGACTCAGGAAACTGACTCATTTTCAGCTTACTTGTCACCTCCTCTGGAAAGCCTTCCCTGACTACCCCAACCAGCGGGTCAGGTCCTGCTTTAAGCTCTCCCAGTTTCTTTGCTCTTATCCCAGCCACAGTTTTACATATGTGATTTATTAGAGTCATGTCTTTTCCCCCATCAGACTCTGAGCTCCAGAAGGGCTGGGATCCTACGTTACTAAATGAACAGATGACCCATGAATTCTGGGCTAGGTGCTAGGGTCTGGAGGGAGTGGGTGCTCCTGCCTTTGTCTAGGCTGGGATTGGAGCCAGGAGTTCCCCAGGTGGGGTAGGGGGAAGCCTGGCCTCCATACCCTGGGTGTTCTGGGGAGATGTTCTGAGGTCTGGGGCCTAGCTAGGGTGGGGTGAGGGACTTACCCGTAGCCCTCGGCGCTCGATCTGCCCAACACACTTCTGGATGATGAGGGGCACCTGGCCCGGGGACTGCTCCCGCTCCACCAGCAGTGGCAGGGGCAGCCCGAAGACTCGGGGCTCAGCTGTGCCTGGTGCTTCCTGTTGCTCCGACAGGGTCAGCTTGGCATACAGCAGCCCTTGGGGCTCCAGGCGCACAGCCAGCTGCTGGGCCTCGCACCCTGAAGACACAAGGGGACCTCCTGAGTCTAGTCTGCCCCCACAGGCTCCTGTGCCCTGGTCTCTACTCCAACCCACACCCCATCCTGGGCTTAGTACCCTGGGCACTCTGGAGGAAGGAGGGAGCCCTGAGCTGAATCCTGTGCCCTACACCTCCTCCCCTGCAGCCATGCACCCTACCTCGGAACACCGTGGGCAGCAGCACAGTACCCTGGGCGCAGGGCCGGTGCCGCCGAACGCCAGGGTCCCACGCCAGCACCAGGGCCCGCAGCAGCCGCGCGGCCTCGAGTTCCAGGTGGAAGGTGTGGTCCAGCCGCAGGAAGTCTGGCCCCCCACGCAGCGGCCCCGTTCGGGCCCGGGCCACCCCATCCACCTGCAGCAGGCAGCAGAGGTCTCGCGGAGTGGCCCCAGGTGCCGGTCGCAGCCCCCCCAGCCCGTACAGGTGCAGGCTGAGGCGGCCCCAGAGTGCAGTGGGGGGCGTCCGGGCCGATGGGCCCACCTCATAGGGGCGGAAGGCGGTGGGCGACGGGGGCCCCGCTGGGCGCTCAGGAGAGTCGCCATCACTGAGGTAACCGGCCCTCAGGCCCCGTGCGCCCTCCGACGCTGCCGCCCGCCCCGGGGTCCCCACGCTGCTGTCCAGGTGGTAACGGCTGATGACAGAGCCCGCGGGGGCGGCTCGCGCACGCTCTCGGCCAGCCCGGGTGCTCCGCAGACTCAGGCGGCGCCGCAGCTCGGGCAGCTTCTTCATCTTCATTGAGAGCCGCCTGGCCGGGCCTGGGGACTTGGTGCGGGAGGCTTTGGCTGGGGGGCTGGCGGGGGCTGCGCCTATGGGGAGAGCAGACCTCAGGGTCCAGAAATCTGGGCTCGGGATGGGATGAGGCTTGTAGTCGTCTTGGGGGTCCCGGGGTGTGAGGCTTGTGCTTACCTGGGGAGGCCAGGCTCTCCGGCTCAGCTGAGCCTGGCTGTGGGCCTGGGAGCTCAGGTGCCGGGAGTCTGGGGTCCTCCTCAGGGATGGGGTTGTACCAGATCTCACCAGCAGGCTCCCTACTGCCAGCTGCCCCGGGCCCCAAAGTGGCCTCATCTGGTGGCTTGGCCCCGCCCAGCACCCATCGGCGGCTGCTGGGCTCCAGGCTCTGCAGGTAGGCACCCCGAGCCGGACTCCGAGATGCCTCGGGGCTGGGGGGCCCCTCTGCCCCAGCCTGGGATCCTTCCGGGGCCTGGGGCTCTGGTTCTGGAGGACTGGGCTCCGGGCGCTGGGCTGGGCGGCCTGGCAGAGAGCAAGGGGTGTGAGACTCAGCCTCCCACTGCTCCCAGAGCAGTTCCGGCCCAGGGCTCTTCCCCCAGCAGGAGAATGCACTCAGCACTGACACTCCACACATTCATTTGGAAAGGGTGGTTGCAGGCCAGCAGTCTCATCTGTTACCAGCTTACGGCCTCCTCCCCAACCTCCCTGGCCCTGGTATCCCAAACAGGACTCTGTCCCTCTGCTCTCCGGCCTCAGAGGTCTGGTGGGGTTTCTTTGGGCCTGGGCCCTGCATTCCCCACTCTAATTCCCTACATCTCTCGTTAACTCTGCATGGAGCCCTGCCCTTGTCCCTTCTCACTGGGTGGCTTTGGGCAAGTCACTTTCCATCTCTGAGCCTCAGTGTCCTCCTGTGAAATGTGGGGATTTGATGCCGCCCTTCAGGGAGGCTTCGGGGAGCTCAACATGGAGAGCACTTCATAGGCACTCATATCTTGGTCAAGCGCATAGCCCACAGTGGACGCTGCCTAGCTTGCTTGGAAGACAGGAGCAGGCATGACAGTGAGTGAGTGCCTGCTGGGTTCTCCCATACCTGCAGCATGTCACTCCCCACCTCCCTGCCTGTCTTCCAAACCCCCGCCACCATCTCTCAGCCCAGGACTGACCCCCACGGTCAATGCCTCCCCCTGGGGACCTCCCCCTCCTGCTCCATCCTCCTCTCTGTGACATCCCGGGCTGTTTCCTGTGTGTGTTTGTGCGTGGGCACCCCTGTCCCTTCTCTCTGCTCTGGGAACCTTGGGAATCTTTGGGAAGGGCTGGGGGGAGGTCAGATCCATGGAGTCTTCTGCCCTCCCTCCTTTAACTCCTTCCTTTCCGGGACTTCCTGTCCCACGCAGCTCTGATTTCTTTAAGGTCCTGCCCATTTTTTAAGGACTCCCTCCTCTGGTCACTTCAGATTTCCACTCCCCAGGACTCTCTCTCTGGGTTCATTTAGTAGCATAGTCCAGAGAGCTGTTAAGTCACTTCACTGGCACTGGGTAGATGATCCAACTGCTCCGTGCCTCAGTTTCCCCATCGGTATAAAGGGGACAGTTTCTTGGGGCTGCCTAAGGTTGGGTGTAGCTGCAGTCACTGGTTAATAGGTGAGAGGGGGTGGGGGGTAGCCACCATGATTGATGCACCGCCTTTCTCCCTCTGCAGGAGTACGCCCCCATCTCCCATCCCAGGTCTCCAGGGCTCAGGGTGTCCCCTGCCCGGCCTGAATAAGCCCCAGTTTCTAGGCCTCCCAGCTCCTCCTCCCCTGCACTCTCCAGGCGCTCTGCCTCGGCCCTATTTCCTGTCAGGGGCGAGGCCCCCTCCCGGGCCTCCCAAGGAGCCGAGGCGCTGGCATCCCTGGCCAGGCGCACATAACGGTCCGCGCCCCCTCTCCCCCCAGCCCGTTACTTTCAGGACCTTTGCGTGCCCCGGCCCCCAACCCCGGCCCGCAGGGGGCTCCGCAGGGCTTCCCCTGTCCATCCTTGGGGCCCCGGGACCCGCTTCCAAGCCGGGTGGGGTTCGGCGCCCCTTCTTCCCCACCTCCCCCTCTCACCGCGCTCCTTCGCGTCCGACTTTTTCCGGGGAAGTTTCTCCCGGCCCCGAAGGCGGGAGAAGGTTTTCCTGAGTAGCGGCTCGGCCATGCTGGGGCCCGGGCCGGGCGGAGTGCGCGCCCCGGGCTCCGGCCGCGCCGCCCC